TGGCGCAGCTCATAGGAAAGTATTGACTCAATTCTTTCCTATGAGAAGTATTGGATGCATATTGAAGTATTGATATGGGTGTTACCCATATCACAGGTAGCACTAACACGGCACACATACCACATGTATCACTGATATCATATCCACATCACATGTACCACTGATATCATATACATACCACATGTACCACTGATATCATTATTATTATTATGATATTTATAGAGTGCTGTCAAATTCCGCAGCGCTTGAGTGGACGAACAGACATGTAGTTGTAACCAGACAAGTTGGACACACAGGAACAGAGGGGTTGAGGGTCCTGCTCAATTAGCTTACATGCTAGAGGGAGTGGGGTAAAATGACACAAAAAGGTAAGGATAGTATTAGACTAGTGACAGTTGCAGAAGAGGAATCAGTCAGGAGCTATTAACAGTTTAATTGATACGCTTTTATGAAGAAGTGGGTTTTTAACGATTTTTTGAAGGAGTGGAGACTGGGTGAGCATCTAACAGGAGGAGGGAAGCGAGTTCCACAGGAACGGTGCAGCCCTCGAGAAATCTTGAAGGCGAGCATCAGAGGTGGGAGTACGGACAGAAGATAGACGTAAGTCTTCAGCAGATCATATATATACCACATGTACCATTGCTAAAATATCCACAGATATCATATACATGTACCACTGATATCATATACATAACACATGTATCAATGATACCATATATACATCACATCTACCACTGATATCATATACACACCACATCTACCACTGATATCATCTACATACAACATGTACCACTGATATCATATCCACATCACATGTACCACTGAGATCACAGTAAAGGAGTTTAAGCATGCGTGGGATAGGCATAAGGCTATCCTAACTATAAGATAAGGCCAGGGACTAATGAAAGTATTTAGAAAATTGGGCAGACTAGATGGGCCGAATGGTTCTTATCTGCCGTCACATTCTATGTTTCTATGTTTCTATGTTTCTATGATATCATATACATACCACATGTACCACTGATATCATATCCACACCACATGTATCACTAATATCATATAAACATCACATGTACAACTGATATCATATACACACCACATGTACCACTGGTATCATGTACACACAACATGTACCATTGATATTAGACCCACAAATATTGATAGTTGTCTATCTCAGGGCAGTTTGAATATTACTGTGGCGGGACCGCTACCTGTCTGTGAATTGTCTTTATGTTATTGCCTGTATTTCCCCATGTATTTGTGACTATTCGTGTGAACGGAACTCGTTCGTCTCCCAAGCGGGGACCACCCTAATGCCTCATTTAGAATGTTAATTTAGAACAGTCACACCTTGACCTTTTTCCAAAACCGCAAGGGAAACCTTGGCGCTTGTCTCCCCTGGGTAACCACCCATTCGTATCACTGGCTGCCATCAAGGTGGAATATCCATGAACTGCTTCCCTCCTCATTCGTGTCCCAAACGTACCCCGTTCGTTTCCTGAACGAGGACTGGCCAGGGCCCATTGGAATGTTCACACCAATCAATTAGAACATTGCCCAAGTTGCAACATAAGTGCGAAACCGCAATAACACTTCGCAACAAGTATGAAACCACAAGAGAAGTAATTAATAAGTGTTTCTCTGGGTGGTCGTCGTTCGTATAAACAGGCGCTGACCAGGGGGAGCATTCATATCCCAAAAGTAGACGCTTCCCTTGCCTGGTTTCACAAAGGGACCCTGCGAACAGGGGCTGTTAGCAACAGGTACCGTTGGGAAGGTCCCTGGGGTTGGTGTGGACATCCTTTGGGGAAAATGGTTTGGCAGGCTTTCTGTGCCTGGAAGCCCAGGAGACGGGAGTCTGTGACTCCCATGTACAGAGACTCTTGGGAAGAAGACCCTGAGTGGCTGAGTCTCCGCTTTGTCTCCCGGGCATAGAGGATTATGTGAAGAAGACCCCCTGACAACTGGAAGTGGAAAGACCTGTGTTGGGGTAGCAGGAACAAAGGACAAAGGGACCAGAGTTCCTGTCCCGCGCTGGTATCCCTGTTAGGGGGAGGATCTTGGAAGAGGACAATGTCCTTGTGTGGTGTCCACCCCTTGCATGGGGAAAAAGTATAAAGCCGAGTGTGGCCAATAAAGTTGTTGTTGTTTCCCTGGAACTGTGTGTCGTCCAGTTACTGGGGGAGGACCGAATGGGATTCTACGTGTTTTAACGATCACCTCTTAAGTGACCGAAGTGACTTACCGAAGATAACCATTCGGGTTACCCCCGGCCCACTACAATTACCAAATAGATTTATCCCCGTTGTCCATTTCCCATGATGCACACTCATACAATACCAGGGAGTTTGATCCGGAGCTCGCCTTGCATTATGGGATATGAATTGCACAAATGCACAGGGGGCCTAGGATAGCTGTCCATGCTAGAGTGACTTGTTCCACCTTAAGACCAGCTTGAGAGAGCAGGGCAGCCAATTGAAGCTGCAGTGAAACAAAGAATTTATTTCTCTATGTTTGCTTTTCAAGACGTTCCCACTTTCATTAGTAGCATTTTATAATGCGGTTGGATGAATGCCATGAAGAAGCTATATAAAAAGTGTTTTGCCCATGATGTAATGCTAACTCGCCTGAACGCCTGCTTTCTGCAATAGTTCTTACATATCCTCCATAATTTATAGCCGCTTCACATGTGCGAGGAAATGAGAAATTGGTTAGCTGAAAAAACTTTTTCAAGTCTTATCCGAGAATCTAAGAACTCTGATTCAGCCACAGATTGTGCGTATTTTAATCTAGTACTTACCTGCTTTTGCTCCCACTTATTTATGAACCTCAAATGCTCGATTTAACGTCAGGGAGCAAAATGCAAAATGCGAAATGCGGCGGTAGATGATAACATGGATAATAACAATAAAATTGCAATCAATTCCAGTCACATATTGTTTGTAAGCAGCACACCTTTATTTCAGCAGCGAGCTTGACAAATAGTTTGCAGAAATAAATATTTTGTGCACGGTTTTAAGATTCACCTTTAAATCAGTGAGTTTTTTATAGAAAAATTGTTATAGTGACAGATTAAAGATATTGCTTTCACAGGAATACAGCAGCAATCTCAATTTTAAAGGAACCGTCCATGTACCATAACCAATACAGTGCACTGTTGTGTCCTAGTGCCTCTAGTTTAAGTAATCAAACTGTTTTATAATGGTTTGACTTGTTACTTGGGGTCCTCTCAGCAGGACGTGAGGGCCAGAAGCTCCAGTTAGGAGCTCCCGTTAGCGGACCAAAGGTAAGAAATTAAACCGTTTCAGAGAGCTCTTACACTATAACAGCGGGGCTAGTAGCACTCACACTTATCTTGTTTGAATGCTTACTTTCTTGCATATTGATCAGAGCTTGGAAGACGCACCAGGTGAAATAATCAATTCATCTCATTGCAGGACTTCCCCTAGAAATCTGGGCAAGTTGGCTGCAATGAATCTCTGCCAAATTTCTCAGTAACCTGTTTTCCTGCTGCTATTATTTACATTACACAATGTAACTTTTGAATACAAGGTGACTATTATGTAGATCGGATTACAATTTTATTCAATCCAGTGCCAAATATCTTTCTTAACAGAGTAAGTGGGATCAACTGTGTTTGAATTAGATAATAAAGTACTGTCACCAGGATTAAACATGTTTATACCACAAACACAAGGATGTGAAATTCACAAGTTTAATTTTAGACTTAACTTTTACAGATTTTAATGATATATGGGATGGTATCACAATAAAGTCACTAAATAGCTCTCTGCCATATGTTATTAAATCCTTCATAATGAGTGCAAAGCTTTTCAGGCAAAAAAAGAATCTACGCTGTGTCAAACTGGGGGTTTGTACTTCGCCTCTTTTATTTTTGAATTAGCACCCCCATTTTATCCTCCAAGCCTATGGCGATAGAGAAATATGGGCATTTTAGGATCAGGAAATATCTGGGTCTGTTGTAGACACCTTGCCCTGTAGATTTCGATAGATTTATTATTTAATGTTGGGCTGAAAGCTGAACTGGACGAATTCTCAGTCAACTTTCTTCTACTTTGTCATAAAATGTAAATATCCATTTTTAATTCAATTTAAATTCCCAACAAATCACACTTTAATGAATAACCCTGTTACTAAATATACAATATATATAAATAGGTAGTTAAATATGGTTTTCTTTCAGTTTTGAACAAATTTTTAAATTCAAGAAAAATTACCCTCAACAAATGAATTCTTTTTTTCTTGTTCAGGGAATTCCTTGTAGAAAGAAATGTCTATTTTTCTGATCAACTCACAATGAAACATTTTCAAAATGAGCTAAATGAGTCTGTCTGTATAATACAGGTCACCAGCCCCCAAAACTGCCATAATAAAGTGTATGTTTATAAAGAGTCGACACCCCGGGAGACATTCCTTGACCACATGTGACACTTTCCATGATACCATTAATGTGGAACCTCTAGAGGTTTTTGTACTTTAAAAAAAAATAATAATAATTTTGTATTTTTGCAGTGCATAATAATATTACAAACATGCTTGCGGTACCCCAACAGCAATCCTCATGCTTATGATCACGCTGTACATTTGGGATAATCAAGGATACACACACAATTCTATATTGTAGACACGCTTATGATATGGAACATGCTAGGTACATATGATCTATAGTAACCTAAGTTTTACGTAGGTTTTAGGTATCATGCAGTACAGTAGGTGACAGGATAAGTCCCGTAGGAGGCCCCAAACCAGTCAAAGGGGAATCTTGTTAGCAGTGGAGCTATTACTTGACTTTAAGGCATAAGAAGTCACCAGAGTAGGTGGAAGTGGCCCATATTTCCTCAGAGGGTAAAGTCAATGGCCATTGAACCCTTCAGCTTAACCAATGCCAGTCAGAGGATAAACAGAGTCCCGTAACCAGGATGAGTGCTGCAGGCTTTCCCATTTTACAGAATATCTGCAAGTTAGGCCTCTCTACATAATCAGGGTTCTCCTTGGTACCTCAGTAAGAGTATGCGTTCTGGCGTGATCCTGAGCTGTTGTGGCTGTCCGGCTGCTAGTGTGATCGAGACCTTGTCCCAATCTTGGCCCCACACAGTCGAGTAGATTTGTGTGCAGGCGGGAAATGTCGCTGCCTCCGGCACCGTTTGCCAGCACAGTCTGGGGATTGCTTGCCGGTGTCGGGAGCCAAGAGATGGCACCTCAGGTAAGCACTCATCTGCTGTGAGAGTCTCAGCCTGCTTCAGCCTGTGTGCTAATTTCTTCCAGAAGGCTTCGAAGGGGCATTCCAGCCGTGCCAGGATATGGGTTGATGGCACGTGGCGTCTGTCATTGTGCTTTGCTCTGGAACTGTGGGTTGTCTGTGTGGGCTTGTCTCCTGCCTCCTGTATGGACAGGGATGGACTGGGATCATGGGAAGATCGTACCTGTGGATCCGCCGATGAAAGGACGTGGAAACTGCTGTCTCTCCCCAGTTCCATCACCCGCAGGCCGTGATCAGACACTTTGGGCTCCTGTGCACCAATTTACTAGCGAGAGGTATTAAGAGATTCGCCAGAGCACTCTGAGCACGGGTAGGGCATTCCTACGTGTGTAAGAGCTTGTATTGGCAATTATTGGCGATTTATTGACTTTAGCTGTGGAGACCAGTGAACACATGTCTAGTCAGCAAGCTGGTCAGGCTTCGCCCATGAGGTTTTTGTACTTCCTGTGAATTATATGAAGCGTGTTGGTGCTAAGAAGCCTTGTTTGAGAGAACCACCATTTCTTAAGACTATGCTGGCAAAACAATAACAAGGGTCTGCATCGTTAGTAAAGAATATATTCCTTATAAGGTCCTGAGGAGATACACCAAGACCTCTAGTAGCCAGAAATACATCCTGTTTGGTGTTTGCCAAATTATTTTGGGGAGAGGTCTCAGTAAATCTCTTGTACCACCAACAGTACCTGTTCATTCCCATTTACACCATAACCAGTTCATTGTGTCATTACAGCTCTTTGTTTATTTACAGCTTATTGTGTTATTACAGCTTGTTTCAGTTGTTATGGTTAGGCACTTGGAGCAGTTTGACAAAACCCAGGTGTCACACCCAAAACTCTCAGCTTGTCAATGTCAGATAGACTTGTTCTAATAATATAGAAGTATAAATTCTGCGTCATGACGGGGATGGCTCTGGGTTCTGGGGAGAGCCCTGACTTTTGCCAAACTCTAAAACAGACGAGCAGAAAACTGAAATAAGGCACCCATAGTGTTCTTTTAAAGACATAGTTTGTTGGTTTGTAAGGTTTGCATGGGTTGGTTTGATTTTTACTTTGTTTGTGTTGTATTGGATTATTATATAGAATGAGGATTAGTGTTCAGTTTTGTGTTATTTAGGGGTCATTTCATGTATTACATGTGATTATATGCGATTTCAGTATGATATCCCAGCAGAGGCAAAACGAGATTTTAGCATTTTTTCTGTCGGCCGAGCAGTCAATTAAAAGTTAAAATTGAAGTCAATTTAAATCTATTAAAAGTTAATTCTAGTAATATTTAAAAGCTTGTTGCTATTAACCGTCGTTTTTCTTTTTTTTAAGGATTTTGAATAAATAATATAAAATGATCTTCTGCAATACACGCTGGCACTTAGAGCCGCACATCTAACCTCAGCATAATATGACTCACACCGTCTAATTCTTATTTTACTAGCCTCACCCTTGTATTGTTTATCAATTTGAAAAAAACTCTACTAAAAAATAGTCATATGCTCCATCTAAAACCAAGGTGTTCCAACTTGCCTTCCATCGATGTGAGGACAGATGGGAACCTCTGACTTTTCATCACTAGGAGGGAATGATACAAATGCATAAACAAATGATTCCGAAATATAAAGATACATTAAAAGCACCACGTACGATTCTATAATATGTCAGATTGCATATGATGAGTCTGCTAAGTCTGTTTAACCTAGCGACGGGCAAAATGCACATGACTCAATCAGTGTTTTCTTCTGACGAATGCTATGCCGAACTCCCGCATCACGGACCTGGAGCCTCCAACATCACCTTACCCTTTAAATCCTATACTCTAATTTTTATTTATCAATAATTATTAAATTGACTTCCAACTAAACTCTAACAAGCTTAAGGTTTCCTAAGTATAAGTCATGGATACACCGATAGTAACATTGGTTGAAAAAAAACTCAAGTACATAAAGTAAAGTCTTTCAAACATCTGTTATTGCTATTGGTCCAAAAGAAGGTGATAAACTCAAAGATCGTCCAATCTTGCAACAACAATAAATAAAAATCCTTCTGGACTGCATAATGGCAGGGCCGGTGCAAGGATTTTTGCCGCCCTAGGCAAAAGTAAAGTTTGCCGCCCCCCACCCCCATGTGACATCACAATGCTCCACCCATATGATTGCCATGTTAACTAACGCCAGTGCTGCAGTGCCGCCGTGTTTACATTAAAAGGCCTGCAGGGACAGGCTATAGACACCAGAACCACTACATTAAGCTGAAGTGGTTCTGGGGACTATAGTGTTTCTTTAATGTGAGGTAAATTAGAGATTAGTGCCACGAATAATATACTAGATTACCTACTTACAAGCAGATGAGGATGATGATGGGCTCTAGCTGCAGTCTGGCTCCACTGGTCTGGTGTAGAACAGGCTCTCTGGAGGCGGTTTGTAACTGTGGTCACAAAAATCAATGTTCTGGGAGAACGGGAAGCAGCTCCATTTTTTGGGGGCCCTTTACACAGCTCAAGGTCTGGGTCCCAGGGTCCACCTTCATGTTCCACCAATGAGTTTGTTCACAGAGGGTGGAGTGTGTAGGGGATGTCCTGATATGTGTGTAAGGAATGCATTGTGTGAATCTGTGTTTGTATGTGTAAGGGCTGCAAGGTGTGTATGTACAGGATGCAGTGTGTGCGTGTGTAAGGGGTGCATTGAGTGTGTGTGAGGAATGCATTGTGTGTTTCTGTGTGTGTAAGGGATGCATTGTGTGTAAGGGTTGCATTGTTTGTGTGTGTGTGTGTATGTGTGTCTGTGTGTGTAATGCATTGCGTATTTTTCTGTGTGCAAGGGGTGCATTGCATGTGTGTGTGATGGATGTCAATCTCTCCCCCCTCCCTTGTCACTCTCTTCTCCCCCATCTCCCTTGTCACTCTCTTCTCCCCTCCCCCTTCCCACTCTCATTGCCCCTCCCTCCCCTGTCACTCTCACCCACCGTCAATTTCTTCATCTCCCCCTGTCAATTTCTTCTTCTCCCCCCTCCCCTACCAATTTCTTCTTCTCCCCCCTCCCCTTCCAATTTCTTCTTCTCCCCCTCCCCTACCAATTTCTTCTTCTCCCCCCTCCCCATTTCTTCTTCTCCCCCTCCTACCAATTTCTTCTTCTACCCTCCCCATTTCTTCTCCCCCCTCCTACCAATTTCTTCTTCTCCCCTCCCCTGCCAATTTCTTCTTCTCCCACCCTCCCCATTTCTTCTCCCCCCTCCCCTACCAATTTCTTTTTATCCCACCCTCCCCTCCCAATTTCTTCTCCCCTGCCAATTTCATGGTCCGCGGGTACAGGTAACTCAGTGTGCACTTCCTGTTAGTCCAGCCGGGTACAGGAGACAGATGCTCCCTGTACCCGCGGACTATACAGGGCTCGGCCACGCTACAACTGAGGGAGTGACAGGATGGAGCGCTGAGCACTGAGCGCTTCCCTCCTGTCAGCCCCTCTCCTCAGGCTGCGCCCGGGCGGTGCGGTCCGCCCTCATGGACGCACCGCCCGGGCAAAGCTGCAGCCGCCTGAGGCTCTCTGCAGAGCGCTCGGGCCGCTGCAGCATGGGGGGCCAGCGCTCCTGGCGGCGCCCCTTCCCAAGGGGCGCCCTAGGCGGCTGCCTAGTCCGCCTTACAGGTAGCGCCGGCCCTGCATAATGGTTATCAGATATCTCCTTGGATCAATAAGCACCCCCACTCATTTTGACTATTATATCCTCATTATTCCATTTAATATCCTGTTTCTCCCTCCCAAAAACCCCCCACAAGAAACACGTGTAGACTTTTAAAATATCTCAGTGGAAGATATATAAAGTGAATCCCTCAACTAGTCACATGTCCCTAGCCGAGTACCTGCTCTAGGACGTATTATGACATGTTATTAGCCGTCAGTGCTCTAGGATCGTGCTGCCACTAAACCATTTTAATTATTTTATGTTGTTAACAATCACTTGGTTTGCCTTTTAATAGGCCGCACCAGCAGGCATTATAATTCTTACTACCACTTAGTAATTCTTACTACAATGCAAAAGCATCTCTATAGTCATAATTAAAAAATGTGAGGTTACTTGACAGTGACATTGTTCCCTTCTTGTGCAGCATGTTATTTGCACGTATTACCCTGAATGAACTCTTTTCTATTTCGGGACCTTTTTACTATCTGTGGAACTGTTCTATGCTGGTACATTGATTTTATTGTTTGCAACTTTGTGCGGAAAAAAAAAATATATATATATTTTAAATCTCTAGTCATTTGTATATATTTGACATTTCTTTTAGCCTTTTGTAAGTTTCACATTCTTGTGCTCAATTCTTTAGTAGCTGAATATTGATCACCCTGATCTCATAAATACCAAAGGCACTTTGCTCAGTGTTCTTAATTCTGACATCACTTGGGTGTTCAAAAAAAAAAAAAGTGGTTAAAGTACCAGCATCACAGAGTTCTCTAATAGAATACTTCCATAACATAATGGCAAATGAAGAAACAGGATCATAAAATATATTACAGCGGTCCAGCATCTGTAACAGTAGGGTGACTGTACAATGAATCCAATCCAGAGGGTTTAATCACTACTCCAAGACATTACACTACAGTAACGCAATGTTACTGTGAATCATCCTGAGACCTATCTTATTAGTGATATATTATTACTTTAAATAATGGTACTAATTCAGTGATAGCAAAATAATATTTACTTTGGACTTAATTAAAAAATCTCTCGTTTTAAATGCTTAATATAACTTGGCATCGTGCCATCTGATTGGTATTAGAAGGTGTTCTTATAATTTTATCCATATATAAATTGCATATAGAGATCATATCATGAATTGGGAATTGCTGTGAATGACGAGGCTGTAGTGCGTTTAAGGCCAAAATGTCTAAACTGCTAAAAATTTATACAATTGTACAGTTCATGGATTTTGTAGTAAAATGTCCTGCTATCTAGTCAATTCTCCCCAATTTCCAATTAAACAAATAAAGCCGATAAACTGTCTATTCTTTAGAAATGCAATATTGTTCAATTATATAAAATAATTGCATCGCGGGTAAAATAGAGTAGTGATACAAAAATTTACCTAATTGTGAATTTATAAAAAAAATCCTTGTTTCACAATATATCACAGTTTCATGCGGGTTCTAAAACCCAAGGATATTCCTGCTATGACCGAATGAAATCTGGCCCAGAGATGCTGTCTCCATTAAACAAAGCCAATTAAAGACCATAA